CCTGGTACCCATTTATTCACCTGGGTGGAGAGAGGCACTGTGAGAGTACAGTGTCTTGCCCAAGAACACAACACAACGTCCCCAGCCAGGGCTCAAACCCAGACTGCTTGATCCGGAGACGAGCGCATTAACCATGAGGCCACAATGCCTCCACATACATACAGTTACATACAGATACGGAAAACAGCTGACAGAGATACACTAAATCCAGAATGCATTCACTTTGTACCGTAAAGCCTCAGTACACCACGGTCAAAGGTCTTAAGTAATTTTAGTATGCACACTGAACACCCAGAGCCAAACGCTGCTTAATTATTTCAATTGCACTGATGCCATAAGATGGTGCATTTACCAGACCACTTTCCAGAAGGAAACTATATCATGGAAAGGCATGGCAACATGTGTTCATACTCAGCGTTGACATACCTGTTGGTATTTTCTCAGCTCAGCGTTAACAGGAACTGGAATTGTGTAATTCTCGACTTTTTTACCATCCAACAGCTGCTCAAGGAATTTACGTTCCTTTTGCTTTTGCTCCACCAGAGCTTTGGACATCCCAGGTGAGTCAGGAATGGCCGACTGAAAAAATGACACAATTGAAGATTTTTTTTTCCAGATGTTAAAACTCCATCGACTTCTGTAACAGGCTAGTGTATTTCTATTAATTATGTGCTCTAGCAGGGGCATAGCCAGGAATTTTCAAAGGGGGGTCACACTGTGTCAAAGTGAGGGTACTCAATAGACTGTCATGCCATTTTCGCCACCTGTTGTAGGTTGTTTGCTTAAAAAAGGCTTACAAAAGAGAGGAGCCACGGGCACCCCAGGACCCCCCTAGCTACGCCCCTGTCTAGACTTTAAAATGTCAGTCGTTGACAGACAAAATTATGGCCACATAACAAACAACAATGATCTGGGAGGATTATAACATTAATGACACTTTCATAAAAATTGACACTGACAGTAGGTTGAAATCATTCTGACTTAAAAACCAAATTGACCTACAATATACAATGTATGTAAAGTGTTTGCAAGGACTTTCCAAGTGCAAGCGCTATACAAAAGGAAAGGTTGATACCTCAAGAGGCATAAGCCTAATCAGTGTAGCAAAACAGTAGGTGGCCATGAGCCGAACATCTTCACATTGATCACTCATTCGTCCCAGCACTGGTACAACCAGGAGTACCACGTACGGGACCACACCCATGCCGAGTCGTTCAATAACACCTGATACACAGCAGCAAGTCAAGGACAATAACAGCTAATGCAAACAAATTGCATGACTAAAGTGGTGAAGATAAATACTGAACAACAGGGTTACCTGATGAAAACAAGAGATAGAAGGGGCAAATAAAGAAGCCATGATTTCGTGGAAAGCCATGATTAGGTTTCACTGCCCATTTCAAAACCCAAAATAGCCGTGCTGAAACCACTAACATTTAAAATATTCTTTTTCCTTATCTTCTTTTTTCAAGACTGCCCTGGAGGAACATTAAAAAAAAGATACAAGAGATAGCTTCTATAGCTCCTTGACGGTTCCTGACCACATCAGCTGTACCCATTAAAGGGAGTACATCCTCGACAACAACCCTCATGGTCTCTAGAATGGATACGTTGCTAAGAACTCCCAGGCACCTTGCCGCCAAGTGTCTCACTGCACAGTAAGGGTGCTGTAGGCACAACACCAGATTGGGAAGGAGATCTAAAACCTACAAGAAAAAAGAAGAAAAAAAGCTTTACCGAGGTATTATTTATCTGAGCATAAGTAGACTGCTTTGAATTACAGCTACTTTCAATTTTTTTCTCCTCCTGCACCAATGTTATTACTACTTCCTCAAAAATTTCAAGCCCAGACTGTTGTCAACATTAGTTTACCTGCCTTGGTAAGCATCAATTCTCCAGAATTACAAACAGTTACCTTTGACAACAGTTCCACATGTACAGCAGGTGTTAAAACTTCAAGTATTTGTAAACAATTTACTAGATTTTGAGCTTCACTCTCCAAGTCAACAAGTTTGTCTGCATCTAGAAAATATAAATAGAAAATACAGATACTCATAAATACTGACAGAGATAGTACAAGGAGACTTGTAATAAGCTACAATGCTTACAATCTTCAGACAACATTTGTCCAGAACACTGCAAGAATCAGTAATGTCAAAAGATCACTCTTGTAAAACATATTAACTGGGTGAAAGGTCTACCATGTTCTCTGATGCTTTCCCTTAGTTCAGTCAATAAGAAGTCTCATTAACCTTTTTCTAGGCGCTTTGGCCAATCATCGGCATTAACCTCGCTCCTAAACCCCGTTATAGGAATTATACAGAGAACAAGACACCAAAATCACTTGATTACTGCTTTTGAGGGTTCAGGACCTACCAAATGAGTTTCCATTCTTTATCTGCTGTAGTGGTCCTACAATTGCTTCCCAAAGTTTAGGTAACTTAGAAGGTAATGACCTCCCAAAGTGTTGAGCTAACTTGACAAGAGCAAATTCTGAACCTCTTCTTTGGATACTCAGAACCCTAGCTGTCTAAAATAAGAAACACGCAGGATAAACACTGTGCAACATCGACAGTGAAATTGTGGATTACAGTGAAACCCTGCCTTACGATCACCTTGTTAATAAGGTCACCTTGTTATTTTGTTCCGGCGAAACGCCCACACATTTTCTCACAAGAAAACAAAGACTACCCCATTAAGTAAATCTCAACCCTTGTAATCCTTAATAATTTTACCCGTTTATACGGCCACTCAAACTAGTTATGTTCATCTTTCCATTGTTAATATTTTATACACTGATTCAAATTTCAATTTTTTAAAATTATATCTGCATTCCGAATGCTTAATAAAGAAGAGTTGTTTAGAAGTGCAATTGGGATCATGGTGACCGTATTGATGGGGTTTCACTGTACTCTTGACTATCGTCAGATGAAAGGGGGCTCCAATCACTGTTAATGGCACCAATCATGTTCTACATTTTATGCAATACATTATATATCAAACACAAGGGACTATTTTTATTTCAATACAAAAGAAGACTGTTGAAAATATTCTAACGAACTTCAAGGTGTTTGGACACTGCCTCCACTGTTTGATATACCTTTTCAATCCAAACATTAACAAAGGAGAAAATGGAAAAATGTAATTGACAAAATCTATGCTAATTAAGATCAGATATCCAACACAGTCATGGCTAAGATTTCCTACGTTCAAACTTGATGAATAATTAATGAGTTTGAGAAGAGCACTACAGCAATACTTGAAATCATTTTGTGCTTTCTACGTTGTGCAACCCTACAGTGTAAAACCTAGTGCTTTAAAATATATTGCCGACTAAAGCGTATGTCAAAACACGATCTCACAAGAAACTTAACTTTGTTTCCCACAAAAAGTAATACATCAAACACGAAAGACCGTGTTTGATCACATTTTCAAACACCGAGAAGAGAGTTGAAAATACGATGCATAGCAGAGTATTTTTGATGGAATTCAAGGTGTTTTCCTTTGTTTAAGCTTGATAAATTATTAATGAGTTTAAGAACATCAAAGACAGAACATACCTCAAAGTCCTCTCCACCACTCTCATCAATAGAGGGTACTGCCACACCATCCACTCCAGCTGGTAAGACCTTGGTACGACCTGCCCCGCCACTTGATTTCTTTTGAGCTGACATATTAGCATTCTGTAAACCAAAGTGCAAATTAAGTATAAAAAGTTTTAAGACTATTAGTATAATACCATTAATAGTATAAGTCCACTAGAAGTCTCACAATACACTAATAGTATAATTTAGAACTCTTTTCCCTAGCACAATTGTTTTGGCTATCAGTATTTTAACATGGTTAAACAAGGTCTTTCAAAATTAACAAGGCAATTTGCTGCAATGACCAAGTGAACTTTTTACAGCCTGCAAAATTTTATCAACATAGTTGTAAGACACATGAAGTTTCCAGTGTTGTTTTGTTGTCACAAGTCATTGTTGTTTTTACTGGGTTTTGTTTGTTTCTTTCTTTCAATGTGAAATAGGTTTAACAGTACTAAGTGGAATTATAATGCTATACAAGAAAATGTCCAGGAAGTTATCTAGGACTATGTTATAAAGATTAAATGGAAGTTTAAAACAGCAAATCTCTCCACATGTTGTATGAAGTACCTTTTGCTGCTGTACAAGACTAAGAATTCCATTGTATTGGTCACACTGTACAGTGTTTCCTCTTTCCAATGTCGTAGTTGTCCCACCAGCAGGAAACGAAGTGCAGTTTGACTCTGATTGACCTGCTGGTGTCGGTGACAGTGGAGGAAGATCATCAGAAGCTACTGACAAATTAAGATTGACAGCTGGGGTGACGGCAGGATCACTACACGCAAAAGTACAAAGATTTTTTATGATCTTAGCATTTGGACATGGTTCTCTTGGCATACACAGCTCCAGAAGCTTGGCCAATGCTTGTGCTGACCGTGTCTGCCATGAAAGGGAAAATAAAAGATGTCAACATGGTTTATGGATTATGCCACTTCATTTTAAATTCTTCGTTTTGTTATTAGCCTTTGTAGTGTCCTTCTGAGTTCCCCTTTACCCTATAAAGTGGCACCCCGTTACTCCAGTCACCAACGGGCCACAAAAATCTGGCCGTTTAAAGAGCGTGGTTCTTTACATAAGAAAATGACTGACTGAGCTTTTCTTGAGGCCAGAATAAAGTGGCCGTAATAACAACGCAGTCATATAAACGGGGTGGCCATACAAAAAAAAAAAACACTTTTTCCTCCCTAGCACATTTAATAATGATAAATTAAAACAATACATTGATCTCTAACAGGTCATTACAGTTGAACCTCAATTATCCAGATTTCTCGATTATTATCCTAACTCAAAAATTATTATTAATACATTAAGTGAGTTGTACAGACCTGCATGATAGTTTGCTCTTCTTTCTTGATAGAATCCATAATTGGCCTGATAACAGGGTTCAGCTTCATGGGAAGTTTATTGAGGAAGATCAAAGTGCTGGCAACACTTGCTTGAACCCTATGCACCATGAACGGACAATACATGTGCATTGAATGTTACTTGAATATCATGTCTCACTATAGGCTATTTTCGTATTCCTTATACTGGACTGAAACTACCTGCAGCTAGCAACTGAGGCTAATGCAGGGAGTCTTTTCAAATGCAAATGACATTAATCTCTTTTTAATGATATTCCGCCGCACGAGCCTCCATTCCAGGTTAGTTCCAGTCCGATTCTGAGAATACCAATATGGTCTGTTAATCAAAATCTTCATGCTTTCTACTACAGGTGTAGCACACTCTCCAGAAGTTCTAGGAAACAATTAGATTATGAGGTCGAGATTTCTATCGCGTTATAGTTGATGAGGGCGCAGCCCAAGTCAACTATCACACATAGAAATCGAGAGCGAATAATCTAATTGTTTTAGTATAAATCTACTAGGCATTCAAAACTTT